AAAAATAAAATATATGATTGCTTTAGTGTTTGAGGCTATCATGGTATCTTAGTTCACACTGAGATACCATGCTAAGAACTTTATAGGGTCCTATTTTTAATGAGGAACTGCTCAGCCCTCCCAGGAGAAATCCTGGGGGCATAGTTAACCCACCACACACAGGCGGGGGAGATCTCCAGAGAGGGATAACATCTATTTCAAGACCTAACCCAAAGTGACTTTTTATCTTGGGGATGGGAATTCACATCTTAAGCACTAAGAAAACAGCACTGGATGAGAGAGAATAATGAACACAGAACAAGATGGAGAGATACCTCACAGCCCAGCACCATCATCACCATTGGCCATGCTCAGGCACATGAATTCTTCTGCCAGAGGCTGTAAGCCTTCATTTCTCACCACAAGACCCTCATAGGACTCCCTACCCACCCTGCCCCAGTGCCACAGTTCGTTTCTATGTTATTGGTTCACTAAATGTCTTATGTTAATAGCTGGGTCTCTCGGCTATGCCTAAAATACACTACTGCAACTTTGCTTTCGCTAGTTAAACTGAAAATCAATGGTCAAAAACGTCGTACTGTGGGCAGCCAAAATTAATACAAAATCCCAAATACACTGCTTCTTAATTGCTACATGGCTCGTCAGTTTGGATGGCTTTCTACACGCCAGCTGAATAGTCTCCCTTGTTTCCAAGGGATCTTTACTTTATTGAAGGGTGGGGTTCCCTTTTATCAAGGAACACAATGGGGCTGTGAGCACTGCCTGGGCAAGTCAGACAGACTGTCCGCACCTGCACACTTCTTATCCCTGGCCTGACGCGGTTTTCATGCTGCTCAGCAAAAGCACTGCTGCCCGGCAGGCGGCCAGCTGGCCACTGCCAGAACCATTCAACACAAGGCTGGTTTCTTCTCTTCCCCAAACACAGAAGCCACCACACACCCAGCAAAAATGCAACGCTTAAACGAAAATAAAAATTAAGAGGGGTTCTTCTCCCCTCCACCACTTAAAGGGTAAGTATGGGTAGGTTTTCTGGATGTCAAGTCCTGACTTAACCAGGCAGGAGCACAGGAACTTTGGAGGACATATTTCAGCAATGGAAAAACCCCACTCCTTTATATGGTTAAGAGTAAGTCCAGTTGTTAAGGAGAAAGTTTCAAGAGCAGGACATGGGCTAACGTCTCTCTCTCTCTCTCTCTCTGTGTGTGTGTATGTGTATGTGTGTGTGTGTACATGTTGTGAACTCTGGTTAAAAAAAACAAAAAACAAAACAGCAAGGTATTGTGGCAGGAAATCCCATGTCTGTTTGTCAGAGCAATAGTGGAGTTCATGCTTTGCACTCACTGTTTTATGCTTATGCAATCAGCCTAGTATATCCAGAATAAAAATGGGCCAGTGCCTGGCTTCCACTGAACACAGTTATTGATTTTTCAATTCAGTTTCCTAGCTAAAGGGCCTCCAGACAATATATGGAATGCTATCATGTTAAATATTCAGTTCAGCCCCCAATTTAAATCTTGGAAACATCAAAGTAGGATGAAAAGATTGCTAGCTTTTATCTCGGGACCTGAACACAAAATTAAAATGGAACCTAGGTTTAGAATCAAGTGAATAGAAAGCAAGAAATAATGTAATTTTTAAATAAAGCATTCGGTGAGAGAGGAAAGGAATGAGAGAGAGACAGAAATAGTCAGACAAGAGAATATCTGAAATGCCACAGTAGCCAGGAGATCCAAAATCCCTGTTTCTGGGGCTGGGAAGGTGGCTCAGTGGTAGAGCACTTGCCTTGCATGCCTGAGGCCCTGGGTTCGATTCCTCAGCACCACATAAGCAGAAAAAGCCAGAAGTGGCGCTGTGGCTCAAGTGGTAGAGCGCTAGCCTTGAGCTGAAGAGCTGAGGGACAGCACCCAGGCCCAGAGTTCAGGCCCCACGACCAGACCAAAAAAAAAAAAAAAAATCCCTGTTTCTTACCTTTACCCACAAGTCACAAAGACCATGATAACTAATACGTAATTACCTGGGAGTCTATACGCTGTACTCTCTGCAAAGGTATAAAGTCTGAGATAGGACTATTGTGAGCCATGGTCACAAGTTACCCTTCTCTTTGAAATACTTTGTGAATCTATTCTTACATAATCATGTATCTGGTAAGGGCCACTGATGAATGAGAAAGATATGATCATTTTGCTGCTCTTTTTTTTTTTTTTTTGGGTCCAGTCGTGGGGCCTGAACTCTGGGGTCTGGGCGCTGTCCCTCAGCTCTTCAGCTCAAGGCTAGCACTCTACCACTTGAGCCACACATTTTGCTGCTCTTTATTACTAATTTATTATAAAGACCAGGAAGAAAATCATGCCATCCAATTGGTGATTCTCTAACCAAATCCAAACATTATCTTTGTCCCAAAAGAGAGTTCTGACTCATTAAACCCATACTAGCCCCAGATAGTACCAATCATAGAAAAAGGGTAGAGCAGTAGACCTGACAAAATTTGTTTGTTTTTGGTCTGTGCTGGGTCTGGGGCTTGAACTCAGGAACTAGGCTCTGTCCCTGAGCCTTTTCTGCTTAAGGCTGGTGCTTTACTACTTGAGCCACAGCTCTACTCCTTCTTTTTTGTATGTTAACTGGAGATAAGGGTCTCACAGACTTTTCTGTTTCAGCTGGCTTAGAACTACAATCCTCAGATCTTAAGTCTCATGATTAGCAAGGATTATGAGCATGTGTCACTCACTGGTGCTAGGTTCTGACAGAAAATTTATATACAACACTTAACCAAATGATTTTTGAAATGGCAGGGTGGAACTGGAGGACACTACACTAAGTGAGACTGCCAGGCCCCAAAAGACAAACACCTTATGTTCTCACCTATATGTGGACTCTAAAAATGTTATCCTCAGGAAAACAGAGAAGAAAGGTGGTTACTGCAATATGGGTAGGGAAAGATGTTGATTTACGTATATAGTCACACCTGAGGAATAAATTTTAATGAGCTACTGCACTACCTATATGATATGTCTAGAGGCAATAAAAATGTAATGCCTATTTCAAAATTGTTCAAAGAGTAGATTTTTAAAGTAAAGGTGAGGTGACAGCTGTATTCATTAGCTTGAATGAATTTTCCTACCACACATCACAATGTATCCTATATACACATACCACTATTAGTTGCCAATTAAAAACAGCCATTAAAAAGAGGTAAGAAAAATTGTGATAGAACTCTGGAATTGGCTGGCCATAATATCTGGAGCTCCCTTCACTTCATTGAAAATACACCGAGGAAGTGCAGATTCCACCTGCGAGACAGGTATCACCTGGGCGAGTGGAGCTGCCTTCTGTGGAAGGCCCCAGCTTTCTCCCCAGGAAGTGAAGAGAATACTTGTTCTCTGGTACTCCTCACTTTAAAATCCACAGGGCCTGGGTGTTGCCCTAGGGGAAAGGTCAGATCATACCTGCCTTGCCTTATGCTTTTTTACACTATATTCTGCCAATATCTCAATAGTCAAAAACCAAAAACCCAAACCCAAAGTACATATTGACATCTGTATCCATTGTGGCCTGGCCAGCTGCCAGTGTTCCACTGAGAATCCAGAAATGTAGGTAACCAGCCAAGAAGCTGGTTATATCTAATCTCTGTGGTTCTGATTAACACTAGGAGCCCATAGTAGAGCAAAGTTCGTTCACCAAATGGTACCTAAAGGCCACAGAGCCCCAACTGTGAGTTCTAAGCAGAATCAAGCCAAGTTTACTGCAGGGCCCCTAGTGTTGTATAGGTCTTCCCTGTCTACTTTCCACAGCATCTCAGTGGGGCTTTACTGAGCTATATAATTCAGGGCTAGTCATCCCTTGCTTAGAACCTTAAGTGGTTCTTGCTTAGGTGGTAGTTATAATGTGTATGTATACTGTCCATATTATATTTCAATTAAAAATTTTTTTGGAGGGGAGGGAGTGTAGTCACGGAGATGGGAGGGCAGGGATGGTAGGGGAAAAACAAACAAGGAGGCAACCATGCTTGATAAGAAATGTACTCATTACCTTGCTCATGTAATTGTAACCCCTCTATATGGTATTTTCACAATAAAAAAACTTATTTAAATTTTTTTTCTTTGTAGCAAGATACCCTGATTCATGCCTACAATCCCAGCTACTTAGAAGGTGAAAATTAGGAAGGCTAACCCTGACAAAAAAAAGTTAGCACAACGCTATCTCAACCAATAAGCTAGGAGTGATAATAGCTTGCTTGTATCACACTTTCTTTTCTACCTTTTTTCTGTTCCCCCAGCTGTGCTCCTACCCAGGGTCCTCTTTGGTTTCTTTCCTACTCAGTCTTCCTTTCCTGACATGCCACCTGGCTACAGGGGAGTGGCCCTCTTCTGACACCTCCCAATGTAAATCTGGTTCCAGGTTATTCTTTCTTGTCTCTCAGTTCTCTTCCTTTGTAGTCTTCCCCAGTAGCAGGAAGCTGTAATCACCTGTGGTTTATGTTTACTATCTGGATTGCTTCGTGAGAAGAGGAATTGGGCCTGCCTTGTTCCCCATCCACTTCCTCCTTGGGAGTGCTGAATCTGGATGTGGAAGGTGCTTTACAGTATCAGTTGGGTCAGACAGTAAGTATGACTGTAAAGCGAACTCAACCTCTGTGGCAAGTATACACAGCAAGGTCACTGAGAGGACTCTCAAGGATAATCTTCCTTATTCCCAAGTTAGATACGTTACACTTTCACCCATGTGACTGAATAGGGAATAATTTAGAACTGCTAAGCATAAGCCAATGGAGAGGAAGCATTTCTCATTCTTGGCTCTTTTCTTGGGCAGACCCATCCAAGTTCCTTTATCTTATTGTTGATTTTTTTTTTTAAGTTCTGAAATCTGGGGACTGGAACTTGGATTTGTTTCCAAGTTCCTCTTACTTAACTCTGGTATTTAAAGATCATTGTTTTTACAAATTTTAGACCTCAGAAGGGCAGCTCCTGTATATTAAAAAAAAATAAGATGTCAAAACAGTTTACCTATGATGTTCACCGTACTATCCACTTCATTTTTTATAGCTGAAGTCAGGACCGCATACTCAGGAGAAAGATCACTTACTCCATTACTAAGCCCCAAAGATGACTCAACTGGTTCTTGCTAGGAAGAAGAAAAGAAAAAAAAAAGAATTGAGAACACTTCCTTTCCCCTCCCTTTTCTTAGCTTAAATTCTACCCACTGTCTAATTTCTTTAATGCTAGGGTTGACTAACCAAATGTCATCTACCAAACGCACCCTTTAACTCTTTAAATTAGCCTGCAGTTAAAGAAGCGAGGTGTTCCGTGTCTTTCATTTTCTTTCAAAGTAATAGCTCCAGCACATCTGGCTTGCCTTTAGGGAATACCTGCAGCTGCTGACAATAGCTCTGGGGTTAAGCTGAGAGCAGAACTGTCCTGTGTAGTATTGGACTGCACAGATCACAAGTCCTCAAACACTCAAAAGAAAGAACTTGGGGTTAGACGTGTGGCTCAGTGGATAGAGGGCTAACCAGTAATAAGGGAAAGCAGCAGGTACCCAGTTTGAGTCCTGGTCTGGGACCTAAAAAGCAAAACCAAAAACAACAAGAACAACAAAAGAACTCCTGGATTCCCCTCTCTCAGGAAGGAGTCATGCCACTGCTTTTACAATTACTTCCTAGGAAAATCCTTCCTGGCCAAGAACAGGATCCCAGAGGAAGGTGTGTATGACTTTTCTCAGAGATGGTTTGCAAGAGAAACTGGCCACTTGAACATCCTCCACTGGGTGGCTGGCTGATTACATGGGCCATATCACTGAGGAAGCCTGCCTCTTTCTGGTCCAAGCCCAGCTGAGCAACCCATACCCACAGCTCCACGTAAATGCACTTCTTGTGTCTGAATAGCCCATCCAGCCCAAGAGGCTACACATTAATACTAATGAAGTGCGATCCATTTCTTTTTTTATTATAGCTCTGAATTCCTACTTTATTCAAAGGTACTTGAACCTCTCACTAAGTACTAATAAACTCCACAAAAGCTAAGCCTGAGGTGCATATCTACTTCCATCATTTGAAGAGAATGTTTCCTCATGGTTAAGATCATGTTTGCTTCAATGATAGCAATCAATTAAAACCCACACAGGGTAAGTCCTAAGGAATCCAAAATGGAAAAGGAGGGAGGAGGGGTAGACAGGACTTAGGACTGTAAGAGAGACCATGGAGGCAGAAAAAACTTCCTTGTCAAGTGTTAGTGGCTCACTTCTGTAATCTTAGCTCAAGAGGCTGAAATCTGGGGATTGAGGTTGAAAGCCAGCCCTTTCAGGAAAGTCTGTGAAGGTAAGAGTCTAGGAGACTCTTAATCTCCAATGCTGGAAGAAGAGGTGTGGCTCAAGAGGTAGAGCACCAGCCTTGAACAAGTAAGAGTGTCAGGTACTGGCACAAAAACAAAGAACTTGCTTTGAAAAATCAATAGTAGGGGACAACCTAAGGCCTGGTGTGTCCTCTTATTAATAATGCACTACTTAGAATCCTTGGCAACCCCCTACCCCCACCCCAAATCTTAGAGACGTAATATGGGCAAGGGCAAGAAAGGGAAGCACTTTCCTCCTTTATGATCTCATCTAACAAACTCCCACCATGAAACCATGGCTTCAAAGATATTGCCACTTCTCTGCTCAGCTCAGGTTAAATAGTCATCCATCCATCCATCCATCCATCTATCCATCCATCCATCCATCCATCCATCCATCCACCCACCCACCTATCTATCTCTCTAGATATCCCTATACATAGATATATACCTTAACAAAGTCAAACAGCAGGAAGGGTCCAGATAGCCATACTGGGAAGAATTTTTTTCCCCTTTTTGCTCCCAGCATCTTGTACTTTTCTTTCTACATTCCAAGAAACCTAACTTGCCTGTGACTTGAGTCACCAGTTTTTTCCCCTTCCATCATGGCTAAACTTCTGAAGGCATGTCTCCCCTTCCTAACCTCACCTCCTCACTGGCAAGTACTTCGGTCTTGCTTCCACTCCACCTGCAGTACTGAGCTATACCACCAGGGTGATAGGGTCATGAGCTTGGGAATCAGGAGGACCAGGTGACACAGGCTGGTTGCTCCACTTTGCCCTGGCTGCAAGACTTTTTTACTCTCTCTCCAAGCCTTTCTTAGGGCATTGTGGACAGTTGTCAACTGAGGATTCTAAGAGGATCCAGGCCACAGAGCTGACAAAGATTAAATGAGATCACTATGTATTTTTACTAAACAAATGCTTACTACCATGACTGGTCACCAATTAAACTCTGTTCTCCCCAACCCAATGGCCTCGTCTCAAGTTCCTTTCCCTCAACAGCCTACTCTGACATCAGTGCAGAGACTGTAACCTCCTTTCTCGACAACCTAAATACCTGCACACTGCTACAATTCCCTACCTCTCCCTTGGCACCTTCCTTGGTTGGTGGGTTCTTTGATGTTACCCTTCCCATCTTCCCCTCTCAAATCCTGCTGTCCCACATTTCCTAATTCTACTTTTATTTTCTCAATTCTCTAATAAGAAACTAAGTACAACTACTTGAAGGAACTTATGAATGTTTTCTTTTCACTATCTTATTATTTATTATTATTTGTGATCACATTATTATCTGAACACATTCAAGGTTAAACTCTCCCTCTTTTCTATATCAAGCTCCTTTCCCAACACTGTGTGGTTTTCTCTCTAATGCATTTCTGTCTTTATTCCCCATATCCTCCTCCATGCTCTGGAGAAATGTGTCCTTCTCCATCTTTGTGTACATTCGCTAAAAATCTCTCCTCTCCACCCCCTTCCAACCACCATGGAGAAAGACTTCCCTAAAACATCAACTTTCCTGTCCTTAAAAAATCTGCTTCAAGGAGTTCAGTTGTGCCTAATTTCATAAAATTATGCACAGAGATATAGGTTAGCCTTCCAGCTTTCAAAGTCACTAATCAGAGAAAGGAGGAGCCAGAGCAAGCAGGATAATAAGCCTGATAAACCTGTTTTGTCCAGGGTAAATCTAATTTTACTCATTCTATCTGTGGCATATGTTCTCATCTGATTAAAGTTTAAAAACTAAAGACATCTTCCAGCCGGTGAAGGGACAGCTGAAGTAAAAGGCCCAAAGGGTCGTCATCTGCATGGCTCTCTGAAGAGCAAAAGCACGCACACTGAGTTTTAATCCAGCCTACATCTCTGTTGGAGTGCAAGGTATATTAGAGAGTTCTGAACTGGATCTGCTTCATATAACGTCTACATTCAGAACCAACAAAGACCATTTAACAAGTGACTTTAGGCCTTTCTAGATTGTATTTCCATTTTCATATTGGTACTTTGATCTGGAAGCACATGTATTTCATCTGCAAAACTCTCTCTGAGGCATGAAGTATTCATTCATATCTACCCTACCTTCCCATCATTTTCTCTCACCTAAATCTTGTTCTGATTAAATCAATTTCCTAATACAACCAGAGAAGACCAAACAACACTCCAATCTCTAAGTTTCTATTTAAGAAGTTCCTGGTGCTACAAAAGGATCAGTTTGTTCCTATCCACATTCCAAGTCTCCACTCAAGACCTATAACCTTTTCAAGGCTGAAAGGCACTTCATACATGAAAGAACACAAACTGTAGTTGACAGACTGGTGTTCCTATCCTAATTCCACAGAGCGGTACAATGTGGGAAAGTGAGTCAAGGCTTTTTTTCTGCCTACATTCTCTTGATATGTTCATCACAGGAAAAACCAGATGAGGTAATAATTGCTATGTGGAGGGACTCAGAGTGTCAGCTAACACCCTTCTGTTCTACTTACTGTTATTCTTACTTTCTTGGCCTCATCTGAATTCCCACAAACTGGGAATGTTTCATGATGGTTTCTGAAGTAAATTTACACACAGTAAATGTTCAACTTAGTACTGCTCATTATTGTTTCTCTTGTTCTTTAGCCAGTTACCACTACATTGATGGGGTTTAGTTTGGATAAAATATAGCTCAGTGAGCACCATAGGATGTATGAATATCAGAGAATAGAGGTATCTCTGACATCTGGGTATTGGGATAACTATTTTCTGGGTAATATAGAACACACAGATAAGCCATCTTAGAGATCCAGGAACAAATTCTGGTATTGGACCATCATGTCCTAAATATTGTTTGCTAATTAAAACTTCAGAACTTCTTGCTTCAGTGTAAGAATCCAAATCTAGTTACTACATTAGGTATTCACTGACGGATTTTCTCAGTAGCAGCAATCCACCCAGCCTAACCAGTTATATATCTGCTTGTGGACAGATGAACTCAGAGCTTGTGGATTTTGTCATACAACAAAAAGTAATGTATGAACATTACTACTATTAACGTCATATTAACATATTGCTATTACATATTAACGCATATTAATACATTAATAGCTCAGTAAGGAGCTTAGACTATACAATTCTAGAGCCTCTGAGGAATTAGTGTAGCTGCAGATACACTAACTCAACACAATGGCATTAGTAGCCATGAACCACAGAATTTGGGAGGCCCGTTGACTTGATCCATGTTCCCATGTTAGAACTATAGATATATGTGAGCAGTCAGGCTATGCTGTGTCTGATGTATCATCTTCCTTCTGCTTGAGAGACACATTAGCCATACCTTCATTACACAAGGATTTCATAACATCCACTTTGTAGAAATGGAACTTGACCAATCACAAGGAACCTCTCACTTTTTGGACCAACATGGGCAAGCTCTACCCAGAGCTGTGCCTTCCACAGACTACTCATGTTAGTGGACATGTGGAAGGCATTGCAGCAAAGGTCCTTTACCGATGAGAACATCTTAAGCCATCCATTCTAGGAAGTACATTCCCACATCCTGAAATGGGATGTACCATATCAGCAACTCTTCACTATGATTTCCCTGGACACAGATTTTCATTCTCAGAGATATGTGAGATAGCCAGGTGCTAGTGGATCATGCCTGTGATTCTAGCTACTCAGAGGGCTAAGATCTGAGGATCGCTGTTCAAAGCCAGCCCAGGCAGTTAAGTCCATAAGACTCATATCGCCAATTAACTGCCCCAAACTGGAAGTGGAGCTGTGGTTCAAAGAGTTAGAGTGGAAGCTGGGAATGTGGCTTAGTGGTAGAGTGCTTGCCTAGCATGCTTGAAGCCCTGGGTTTGATTCCTCAGTACTACAAACAGAAAAAGCCAGAAGTGGAGCTGTGGCTCGAGTGGTAGAGTGCTAGCCTTGAGCAAGAGAAGCTCAGGGACAGTGCCCAGGCCCTAAGTTTAAGCCCCAAGACAGACAAAATAAAAACAAAAACAAAACCCATAAAGATACAAAAGAAACAGCCATTGGCACCTGACATTCAGTGGAATGTGAAGGCAAAATATGTTGAATGGTAAACTTGTTACTCCATTCTTACTTCTCAATTACTTGCAATCACAAAATCAAATTTGCATCCTAATATAAAACCCTTCACTCCCACCACACATATTGTATTTGTTTATGCATTTATTTATTGAACAGATGCTTATGTATCTGTTCAGCTTTCAACTATGTATTATCTGTTCTGTGCCAGTCAGTGAGCTAGAGGCTCACTTGTTCAGAGGTTCTAGCAGGAGAGATCATCTACTCATATACTCTTGACCAAAGACCGGTTCTCCTTTATTGGGGATGGTCGTTCTCTTTGACCAAGCATGCAGCTTTGGGAGGGACATACATGGAGCAGTGAGAGAGGAAGGGGACATCCGCCCAGACAGCCAGACCAACAGAATCAACCCTAGAGATCAATGGGGTGACAGATGTCGCAGCCAGATCGCCCTCACATTGGAGCTAGAGGCTCTGAAAACAGTGTACTAAATGTGATACAATCACACTTAATATCAGGGCAAATCCTTCAAAATCATTTATTCGCGGAAAAGTTATTCACGTTTATAATTAAACAAAACCAATCAAAATGGAGGCATTAAATCAATACTTGAAAACTTAATATGGTTAACAAGTTTCGTTTCATATCTGCAAGGAAAAGCAAAACTTTAAAAATAAGCTTTATAAAGCCTATTATTAAAAACAAAACTGACAAGACATCTCCAAAAATTACATGTGGATCTTACATGGAACTTTAAAAAACAAAACAAAACAAGGACTTTCTATGTGGCCCAGGCTGCCCTCAAACTGGTGATCCTCTCACCTGTACCCCAAAGTGCTGGAATTACAGACACGTACTTTTCTTTTTCCTTTGGTCGGGGGCTAGACCTCTGGGCCTGGGCACTGTCCCTCAGCTCTTCAGCTCAAGGTGAGCATTCTACCACTTGATCCACAGAGTCACTTCCGGTTTTCTGGTAGTTAATTGGAGGTAAGAGTCTCACAGACTTTCCTACCTCTGCTGGCTTTGAACCACGATCCTTAGATCTCAGCCCCCTGAGTAGCTAGGATGACAGGCGTGAGGCACTGGCACTGGCCTTACAGACATGAACTACCACACTTAGCTTTTTTATATGGATCTTAATTCACATAAACTGGAAAAAGTTGTACTATCATTTAGGAGACAAATGGGAATCTGGGCACTGACAGGGTATTTGATAATACTGAGGAATTATTATCACTTCTTAAGTACAATAATAATATTATGGTATTTTGAAGAGTATCTTTTAAAGATGTAAACTAAAATACTTATAGAAGAAACAATTGTGATGTTTGGAATGTCTTTTAAAATACTAAATTAAACAATTGCTTTTACAAGTCAGAATGGGTTGGGTATCTATAGTTTCTTATTAGGAGTCAGGAAGTGCGTGGTGGTACTATTGAAACAAAATTGTTTGGAAACTTGTGAATCCTGAAATTGGGATCTAGTCTATGTCCTAAGTTTGCATCCTTTCTTAGTATACTATATTTTTTCACAATAAAAAGTTAAAAACAAAATGAGGCCTTAACATTATATTAGATTTAAAATAAGTCAGAAACTGAAAGTGTACTTGGAACTATCCTTGCTCTGGTCCTCCACCTAAAGTGCTTTCCACGGTGGAGTCAAACAGCTCTGAACCTTGAACAACCTACGTCTTCCCTCAAAAATCTGACAGCCAGACACAGCTTCTATGTCTGTGTATTCAACCGACCACAGATAAAATATATTAGGAAGCAAATCTTGTTCGCACGGAACATATACAGACTTTTTACTCCTGTCATAATTTCCAAAACGATAAGACACAGCAACTATTCACATTGTATTATTTTGTATTAAATATCATATGCAAAGTAGAAATGAGTTGAAGCAAACAGAAAGGATAGGATTTAATACCAACATTATGCCGTCTAATGAGATAGGCCCGCACACCTATGGACTCTACCATCTGTGGTGGCCCTTTGGTTATAATAGAATGCTACTTTTTAACAAGTCTAAAATGTTTTTTGTTTGGAGAGTTTTTTTGGTGACAATTTCACCTTACTGGCTTGTTTTTAAATGTCTGGATAATTTGGGTCTTTCTCTTCCACTGTTATTCTGGCTTAGAAGTCAGAATATTACTTCAAGTTCAGCTCTAAACAACCATGTAACCTTGGACAGTGCAGTTCAATTGAACCTCAGTTTCTTCTGCAAAGAAAGCTGGTGACGAGATCTTCTCTCAGGTAGTTTATGGGGCTGGGGCTGCATTTTCTGCTCTTTGCTTAGAAACAGAAGCTGGTCCTCACTGTGCATGGGATATATGGCTCTTCTCTCTCCCATTTATCTAGGGCCACCTGATCCATACACTGAGAACCTCACATTGGCACAACTCTGACTACCTAGCCCACTAAGAAGTCCATTGCACACATCCTCATCCTTGTAGAAACCCCTGGGGAAGTCATAAGAGATGGCTCCCTAGTAGAGCAGAAAAACCCTTTGGAAAACCTCACCAGTGTAGTGCTTGAGCTGACTACTATGTCCTCTAGCTAATGGCCAATGAAGAAACGTGTGTGTGTGTGTGTGTGTGTGTGTGTGTGTGTGTGTGTGTGTGTGTAAAGATATTTTAATAGAAGTACAATATATCATGTACTATAAATTAAAATATATTTAAGAACCTGAAAATATACTTCATAGCATTGGTCATAAGCTGGCTGTTTGAGCTTTGAGCTTTGGAACTAAGATACAGGCTTCAGACTGTTGAGCTCTGTGTGAATTTGTGACTTCATTCACATTTCTCAGTGATTTTGGACTAAGCAAGGGGACATGTACACTCATGTCTGCAAGTAGATACATGCCAAGAGGAGACATGCAGGGCACAGAAAACACAATAGCAGAAGAAGAAAGACTAAGCCCTTTACAGAGATCATGTAACTTGTTTTTATGAAACAGAACATGAATCATTAATAGGATCACAACTTTGACTTTCTCTCTGAACAACCAAAGATTACCTTGATGTGCTTAACTCTGTCTTCTTTGTCCGTCTTTGGTTTCTTTCCTGTGGCAACAGAAATGTAGTTTGGGATTAATTCAGGAAGGATGTAGAGAGGAACACTGCCTTACATTCAATTATTTCTCAATAAACCCGTTACTTTTGTCATGATCAAAATTCCAAATGTATATTTTGTATTTCCTTTAATGCCCTGAAAGTTATTTTTCTAGGCTGAATAAGGGCAGAATTACCACCTACCAAATAAAAAAGTGTTTTACCCTTGAAGTGACTATAGACACAAAAATAAATCACAATGGGCCTGTGGTGTATATACTAAGCAATCATTTCTCTAGTCAGTAAATATCTTTACCTTTCTTAGAAGGTCGTTCAGATAAGGGCAACATTCGATACACTCTGAAGGCATTGTTTCCTTTCTTTATACTTTTATCCTTAACTTCTTCAATGTCAGGCAAGGAATTCATGGCACATCGAAAATTGGCCTTCCATGTTTTGGGATCAGGTTTATCTACTCCTGGTTGATGCTTTCCTAACAAAACAGCCAACGGTTAAGAAAGAGAGGAAAGGCATTAGCTACAGAATAAAAATAATTCTGGCAACATGATATTGATGGCAAGGTGATACAGAAAAGTCTTTACGTTTCATATTCTATCTGCAAAGACTAGCCACCATAGTTTCTCTAGGATTGAGAAAGTTCTTAGAGTGTAAGAATTTTGTTTTTAAAACCTAGAGAGTTTGGGACATGATGGGATGAGCTGGTCACCTTGGTTCTACCCAATAGCTTAGAACGGAAAATGGAGAATCAATGTAGATCATAAAAATAAAAGGCTGGGAGCTGGGAAGGTGGCTCCGTGGTAGAGTGCTTGCTTTGCATGCATGAGGCCCTGGGTTCGATTCCTCAGCACCACAAAAGCAGAAAAAGCTGGAAGTGGGGCTGTGGCTCAAGTGGTAGAGCGCTAGCCTTGAGCTGAAGAGCTGAGTGACAGCGTCCAGGCCCAGGGTTCAAGACCCACGACCGACAAAAACAAAAAACAAAAATAAAAGGCTGAAAGTCTAATAGGCAGAACTAACTTCTGACTTTCAAATACTAAGAAAAAAGTCCATCTGTAAAAATAGCAACCTACTTAATTTTTATAATAAATATCTGTAAGTAAATTCAACCCAAGTTTATAGGTCCAGAGCAGATGAATTTATATTCTCCATATAACCCTTGGGAAATTCACGGAAAATCACACTGAAAGGAAACTGCAGGACTAAGGAACGACAGGATGGGAGGGATTCTATATTCCAGATGTACTTTGGGGTAAGTGATGAGACTCTCAGAACTGGCCATCAGCCAGGATATTTTCCATATATAATGAAAGCAACAGTGGAGCGGTGAACCGTGCAGGGTTTATACCTGTGTGGATTGCCCAGTTTCTGAAGAGAGGTGCATCTTTTTCCACATCCCATCCATGTCTAGCTGCATGCATCCAGGGGATCTGGAAAATCTTCTTCTCCTGGAATGGAAGGCAAAGAACTTCAGTGTTTGGCTAACTATGGCTAGGGGCTTTTCTGTTCTAGCTGTGAGATTTCCCACTAAATGCTAGTGTCTGGTAAAACCAACTGTAAAGCTCCTGCTGAGTCCCAAATCCTGAGTCTTAGGGAACAGTCAAGTCCTCATTTGACTGGCAGTGCAAGAGCATAATATCAACATGCTCCATCCTTAGCCCTACTACTCTATTTTGGTTTTTTTTTTGCAAGTCCTGGGGCTTGAACTCTGGGTCTGGGCTCTGTCCCAGAGCTATTTTTGCTCAAAGTTAGCCCTCTTCCACTTGAGCCACAGCTCCAATTCTGGCTTTTTTCTGAGTAGTTCATTGAGTCTCAGACTTTCCTGACTGGGCTGGCTTTGAACCACGATCTTCAGATCTCAGCCCTCATGAGTAGTTAGGATTATAGGCATGAGCCACCAGTACCTTCTACTCTCTTATAGCACCACAGATAACTGGCCACCTGCAAAAACTTCTAATGCTTATTCTTATTTCTTATCATTTGGTAAACAGTTATTCCAGCTGCTTTAGGTAAGTGAAAAGTTAAATTAGTTTCCAAGATAACCTACCCTTTACTCTGCTAAGGCGTACTCAGGTCTATTTGAGGTTACTGCCACAGATAATACTAAGGATCTCTATCTGCCTGGATATTCACAAAAATAGAAGATTCTGGGCCCAAATTAGGATTGCAATCCTTAGGTCAAAGTCCATTTCTATCTTTCCCTACTGCCTGAGGCTAATTTACAATGCTTTAATCAACCCTAGGCAACATCTAATGAGAAACACTTCCAGAAAAAAGTTCACCCTCATATAAAAAGAAAAGAAATGAGGATTGTCCTTAACAGTCAAGTTCAAAGTCAACACTGCCCTGACTAAACTCTTTTAATGTCTTTTTTTTTTTTTGGGTCCGGTCATGGGCCCTGAACTCTGGGCCTGGGCGCTGTCCCTCAGCTCTTCAGCTCAAGACTAGCGCTCTACCACTTGAGCCACAGCACCACTTCTGCCTTTTTTCTTTTTGCTTATGTGGTGCTGAGGAATCGAACCCTGGGCCTCATGCATGCAAGGCAAGCGCTCTACCACTGAGCCACCTTCCCAGCCCCTCCTTTAATTTCTTTAACTATCAAAAGTTCAACATTACATGAGACTTCACTAAATACATGTCAGAAATTCCTTTTATGGTGCTGGAAACGGAGGCACAGAAGGAAACTTGATTTGAATAGATGGAACTTAGAGTTGAAAGTATCTAAATCCAAATTCAAGGTCATCAGATAGAGAAGATTCTCTGTCCTGACAGACCTGTGGAGATTGTCAGGTGGGGAACTCTCTGCTCTATTCAACAGGGAAGTGGGGGAAATGTCAGCACTGAACTCTGGGGAAGCAGGGAAATATCAGCAGGGATTCCCCGCTACTCTACTCTGGCACAGCGAAATCTAGAAAGAGCCCTCCCTACTGTCCCCAAAAGGCAGCTGGTACCCCACACCAAATGATCGTTAACAGTTAACTTCTGAAACTGTAACGTTTCAGAAGTGTTACAGTTTCCCAAAAACTGTTAGAAGGGGGAAATTCTACCATATTTTTGCAAGTCAGTTCGTAAAGAACTGAAAAGTTAGAGACCTTTTCACAATTTCCTCTTTGTTCCTTGTGCACCAGCCACAGGGTCTTCTTCTTCAGGTGGGCCAAAGATCAGGGGATCAGAAAAGGGCTGAGTTGAATGGTTTGGTTTTTTTTTTTAAGGTACATGAAAATCAGAGAACAAAACTGCTTGATGCAGTTGTTGATGTTCACATGAAAGAAACTACAAGTAAAAAGAACTGATTTTACAGCATTTTCTGGAAACAAAGTGTATATCCACAATCTAAGGCTTCCTGCTTAAAAATATAGACCCTGAAAACTCTGCTATTGTGCCACCAACAAGCCTAAGTTAGAGGAAGCCTATTATTAAAAAAAAAAAAAATGCCCGCTGGTGTGTAGGTAAGCAAAGAAAACATCCTGTCTGTCTCTTTCAAAGGCTTGCCGTGACAATGACAGGACAGCAGTACCTGAGTTCACGGCACAGCTACATGCCCACTGTGGAGAAGCTCCAGGGAAGGCCTGCCTGACAAAGACCTTCGGGCCAGGACTACAGTGCTGGCATTGTCCTGACAGGGAACAGTGTTGGCAGCCAGTGGCCCACTGCCTTCCATCAGCCAAACTCATGCCTGGCTCTAGCAGAGGAGCCTGGAGAGATGGCAGAGTCCCCTTCCTTGCTCTTCCTCAGTAACAGAATTTTTGTAGCACAAATTAGAAGAAAGAAGCTCAGTAGGGAAAAGCCCCTTATAAGGGACTAAGGATTTAGTTATACAAAAAAAAAAAAAAATCCATTTGCCTTCTGGTCCTCAATCAGAGAAACAGGAGGCCAGTGTTGTAGCTTAGTATTAGAACATTTGCCTAGCAGGCTCAAGGCCTTGGGCTAGACCTCTGGCACGAAAATGAGAGGGAAGGAGGGGGGTGAGGGAGGGGAATACATAGACAAAGTGAGGTCTCCATGGAGAGTTACACTAAGGAACAACCCATCCTAAAGCTGTTACAACAAATGACACAATTATTCCCTACAGCTCTGGAAGCCAAAACTCTAGAGGGAACTCTTCCAGGTTCTGATGCCTCCATCAGTCCCTGTGGCCTTATCACTCAGTCACTACTGTGTCTTTTCATGGCTTCACCTCTCTCTTCTGTGTGTGTCTCCTCTCGGTGTCTTTTATTTTTGGTGGGGGTATGTTGGTCCTGGGTTTGAACTGAGGGCCTGGGTGCTGTTCCTAAGTTATTTTGCTCAAGGTTAGCACTCTACCACTTGAGCCACAGCTCCACCTCCAGGTTTTTGGTGATTAATTAGACATAAGAATCTTAGGAGCCGGGCGCTGGTGGCTCACGCCTGTAATCCTAGCTACTCAGGAGGCTGAGAACTGAGGATCGCAGTTCAAAGCCAGCCCGGGCAGGAGAGACCGTGAGACTCCTATCTCCAATAAACCACCAGAAAACCGGAAGTGGCGCTGTAGCTCAAGTGGTAGAGCGCTCGCCTTGAGCTGAAGAGCTGAGGGACAGCGCCCAGGCTGAGTTCAAGCCCCATGACCGACCAGAAAAAAAAAAAAAAGAATCTTAGGGACTTTCCTGCCTGGGCTAGCTTCAAACCATGATCCTCAGATCTCAGCCTCCAGTGTAGCTAAGATTACAGGCGTGAGACACCAGTGCCCAGCTCTCTTCCATTTCTTATTTTAAAAAATACACACACATGGCATTGGACTCAGGGCCCAGGTAGATAATCCAAGACATTATCCTGAAGTCTTTAACTGAATCTGCAAAAACTCTTTTTTCCAAATAAGGTTGCATTCGTAGGCTCTGGAAGTTATATGGAGTAGTTTTCTGAGCTGCCTACTGTACCAGATGGCTAGAATATAGCTGTCCTGTACCTATTTGATACAGAAGACCTGATGTGTTTTTCACTTATCCATGAGTTTCAGGAGGGGGAAATGGCTTGCTTTGCTTCAGAATGAAGGAACATTGTTTTTAAACTCAGTCTACCAGAAGAGGTAATGACAGCCACCTTTAATCCTAGCTACTTAGGAGGCTGAAATCTGAGGATGGTGGTTCAAAGTCAGAGTCTGTGAGACTCTTCTCTCCAAATAACTACCAGAAAGCCACAAGTAGAACTGTCGCTCAAGTGGAAAAGCAGCCTTGAGCAAAAAAGCTCAGGAATAAACACCCTGGCAAACACCCAGGCCCTGAGTTCAAGTCCCTGCTATGGCACAAAAATAACAACAACAGCATATCTTGTTTGTTAAAGCAGAACTCCACATAATTCACTTCTCTTGTACTTCACTTTCCTCGTGTGGAAAATGGAAAATAACAATGTTTTCTCAAAGTGGAGACTATGTGAACTGATACATATGGCTTGCTCATGGTACCTAACCCCTAAGCTTTTATTGTTATAATTTAGCACCTTGTGCCTCTCCAACTCCCTTTGTAGATCCATCTAGATGCCTGCTAAGTGAGCAAGCAAAAAGGCCACCTGACTTCTTTTGGGTTCCTTTGGAAAAGGCTAATTGCATATTTAAATCCATATCACTATAGATATCACAAGCCTGGAGAAAAGATGGTTTGTACTTAAGGTGAACCAGATGACACCTCAAATAAGGACATGGTGTAGGGGCTGGGAAGGTGGCTTAGTGGCAGAGTGCTTGCTTAGCATCCATGAAGCCCTGGGTTTGATTCCTCAGTACCACACACTCAGAAAAAGCTGGAAGTGGTGCTGTGGCTCAAGTGGTAGAGAGACTCAAGGACAGGGTCCAGGCCCTGAGTTCATGCTCCAGGACTAGCAAAAAAGAAAAAGAACATGGTTTATACTTCATCTGTTTTAGGAAGAACTCACTTAAATACATATTCAAACAAAATGACATTAAATTCAAAATAAATGAATGAGAGTAAAGAAAAAAAAGTCAAATGTGAAAGATATTGCTAAAGATAAAATGAAGCCAGGAGTAAAACTGGGAAAAAGGAAAAAAAAAATATGACAATATCTTTCTCTCTCATCAGAAGCAGGCCCCAACCTGCAATCTGGCTCTCAGCTGTGGCATCTTGTCCAAAGATAAAGCCTGACCAGCTAAATTATTCATTGTTTAAGATTAAAAGAGGAAGGGAGAAAGGGATGCTCAAGCAGACAAAGACATTTGCTCAAAAGCACTGCAACCATGCCTGGTAATAAAAGAGAAACATCTCCCTTAGGCCTCCTTAAAAAAGGCCTGATGTGTTATATTTAGTTGCTTTGCTAGATTATTGCTATACATTTTTAGTTTTTTGTTGGTTTTTTTAACTTTTACATGGGATTTACTCCTACAGCTAGACTCAACTAAACAGGGAGTTCTGAGCTTAACAAGTGCAATATGTTTACATAGTACCTGGGTGTTAGAGAGAGGTAGAAAGATAAACAACTACTTTTTTCTTTCAGGACAGAGGGCACAGGGAGTTTCACATAAAGATAAAGAGACTTCTTTTTCATCTGTTGATTGTGGAGCTTGAACTCAGGGCCTGGGAGTTGTCCTTGACTTTTCCACTCAAGGCTAGCACTCTATCCACTTGGAGCCACAGCTCTACTTTTGGTTTTGGAGATAAGACCTATAATCCCTCTGTACAGTATTTTTACAATAAAAATATTAAAAAATAAAATATGGGGCAGAAAAAAGAGCCTCATAGACTTTGCTGCCTGGGGTTGGCTTTGAACTGTGATCCTCAGATCTTAGCCTCCTGAGTAGCTAGAATTACAGGAGTAAGCTCCCAACACCCAGCTGAGAAGACTTTTCTGAGAAGACTTTTCTTATACACAAAAACAAAAGTTCTTTTTTTTTTGGGGGGGGGGGGTCCGGTCATGGGGCCTGAACTCTGGGCCTGGGTGCTGTCCCTCAGCTCTTCAGCTCAAGGCTAGCACTCTACCACTAGAGCCACAGCACCACTTCCGGCTTTTTTCTTTTTGCTAATGTGGTGCTGAGGAATCGAACCCAGGGCCTCATTTTGCATGCAAGGCAAGCGCTCTACCACTGAGCCACCTTCCCAGACCAAACAAAAGTTCTTTCATAGAAATCCTTCAGAAGAAAATCAGTATATTCTACTCTGAATTGAAACTGTGGTTTCCATCCTGGACAGCTAGGAGGAGCAAGAAAGGAACTTGGAGAAGAAAGAGGGCAAGGGTCATTACAAAAGCACAGCAAGGAACTTCTTAGTCATCCAAAGTCAATGCCAATAGTGAGCCCCATTGGGAAAGATGACACAAACCTGTCTGATATGATAACATGACATTTTATGATTACTGTTGGTTGTTTGGTTTTTATATTAAGCAAGTCTAAGATTGTGACTAAGAATAGTTTTACTTTTGATTGGTCCTGTGGCCATGTTTTTTCAGAAAGGGCAACAATCTCTCATTTACACACACACACACACACACACACACACACACACACACACACACACACACACACACACACACACACACACACACACACACACACACACACACACACACACACACACACACACACACACACACACACACACACACACACACACCCTTACCTTGTTAAGCCACTTTAGCCCTGGTATCGTATTCGAGTTTATCTGTTCCTCCAGCCATGGGCGCATTCTCATCCTTTCCACTGGCATGGTACCCTTTGACAGAAGAGACACGCAACATTAGGTCTTTCTGCTGCTGACTGCCCTGTCTGTACTACAAAGTTCTACAGACCTCTGTGAGCTGCTTACTGACCCCGTTTACCCTGTTCCAGAAAGTGTGGAATGGACCAGGCCTATTGTACATGAGCTGACTTCTGCTGAAGGGGCCTGCACATATGGTAGGCCTGACACCTAGCTAAACAGAGCATCCATACACCTTCCAGTGACTGCCTCATGCTAAGCTTCAACTCCTCCTCTCTTGGCTGCATTTATCGCAAACATAACCAGCGATCTGAAGACCAGTCATTTAGAACACATTTGGTATTACAAATCCTGCTCCTTTTAGTAACTAAGCACAGCCAGAGCGGAGCACTTTAGTGGAAATGAATTAGAGTAACCAATTTGTTCCTTTCAGACATCTGAGTGATATAAGTGATCTGAACCCCCAGTAAAGTTATGAAGGAATCAATTAATCTGGTTCTCTTTTGTCCTGACAAAAATCTATTTTCAGACCTAAGTGTACTTTGCCCTCCCTTCATCTTTGCCATGACTTTTACCCTAATCTATTTTTTCACTCCACCAAGCATTTTCTTCAATACCAACCCTCCCCCATCTGACAGCATCTCTCTTCCCTTACTTTCCCTTTGAAAATCATTGGCATGGTCTGTACATTTTTCCTCCACCAGCCCACGTGTGCCTTTCCCCACTCCTTCCAGATTCCTAAGACAGTCTTTCCCTTGCTCACCAAAACAGTAACAGTAGAATCAACTCTTACTCTATTTGTGTCTAAATTTACTTTTAATCTAGAATCTGAAAGCAAAGATGATGGTGACTCAAGCCTCCACTCTATGGGCATTTGTAGACAATGGAACGTTATAATCTTGGTTTCAACCCTAAGTGGTCTCTTGTTTCTATCACTCTTTTCCTACACAAATGGCTGAAAACTCTGTTCAGATGAATGTGGCCTGATATGGTCGATATCTCATGATCTCTCTGAGCTTGCCCGGCTGGCCTCTGCCCTGCCCTGAGCTTGTGCCAGAGTACAAGTATTTTTATATGAATCACAAGAGGCTTCACTTTTGCCCATAGGAGAGAGACGTTTCTTTGCTCTAGAGCACTTCTCTCACAGTTCTAGTGCATTCACTGTTGCAGACACCTTTCGCTTCTGCTTAGACCAAGCTCTCGGCACCTTTCCTCGAACCTGCCAATTGTCACCCATCCTCCAAGACCCAGCATCCACCCTCCTTCTCAATAAAGCTTTCCCAGACCACTCCAGACTGAAGTAATCCCTCCAACTCCTATGTTACTCAGAACTGACATTACTCGTTTGAAAATCAAACATTGCTTTAGGGCCACTGTTCTAAATCTTTAATCCTATCTCTCAATCAACCCCTGAACTTCTCTGCTGTTTCAACTCTCTTCCTATGCAAATTTGAAGTTCCTTGAGAGCAGAGAACTTATTAATCCTGCAAAGCTAAATGCTGCTTTCTACACAGGAAATGTTCAGTCCAAGGAAAGACAAGGCCAGTTCTGAAGTTCAGCCCAAAGATGCTCTGCCAATCATCTGCAGTCTCCAGGCCCCCATTCTTTGAGCTGGTAACAGGACACACACAAAAACAGACATGGAATGGCCTAGAGGAAGCCTCAGTACACTGTTCATCTCTATGGTCTCAACCCATTCCATCCACTCTTCATTTACTCATCTACTTAATCTATTCAAGGATCAAGGACTGAGAATGAGGATCCAGAACTGGAAAACATAAACAAAAAACAAAACAAAACGAAGTCCTGTCATCTTGCCTCCCAGACTAAGACAGGACACAGGAAAGAAGGAAATTATCAATTGAAGAGTCCTTCGTGCAGCTGATAAAGAGTTACTCTTGGAGAATGGGGCAAGGCTGCACACAGATTACATCAAACAACCATGCAAAGACTCTTCCCTAAAGGGGGATGGCCATCAGCCCAATCAGATCCTCCCTTGGAAGAAGACTGGAAGACACAGAGAAATAGCAGAACTGGGGCCAATTACAGGAGTTACAAGTAGAAGGCAGCAGAGGCCAGTTGGGGGCGTAACTTGCAGAAGTACTGCTGCTGCTCGTGTACAGGGTAACGGGGAAACAGGAGAGGCACACGTGAGTGACCTGCTTCCAGCTCATAATCACAAAAATATTATTTCCTCCTACATTTTTTCACAAGTAACCCATTTGAAGGAAATAATCATCCCCAGATGTATTTCCAAAAGCTTTCTGTGAGAGAAGATACCATTGATGTAAATCATTTATAAGTCCTGCACATGTGAATTTGCCTGCTCATGAAAGCTTATTTGAAACTGTAAAAAAAAAAAAAGAAATTCAATAAAATCAATATTCCTGGTGCTTTTGTGGTCATCACAGATAGGCAGAGAGGGGGAAATGAGAGACACCTGGTGCACACATTCCCAGCTTAGGTCAAACAAATGTCTTTTTCATGGCTAATTTAGTCAGATAGTTCTCACTTATCTGTGCTTTATCTTGGTCATTTTGGCATTTAAAATGTCACCCAAGAGTGGTGCGGAGTGTTACATACTGTTTCTAAGCACAAGAAGGCTATGATATGTCCTATGAAGAAAATACATGCAGGAAAATAAGGCACACTCAGTATAAATTCAGTACTAAATAAGGTATTTTAATATAGAAAACACAAAAAATCAAAGTTAAATACTGATCAGTTCATGACAATGCTGTGACCAGAGACTTACAGGAACCTGCCAACACAAGCTCACAAAAATGAACCTTCTGTGAAGGCACAGACACAGGAGGCAGATGGACATGTGAAGATGGAAACAGGAATTAGATGAAGCTACAAGTCAAAAGCACGGCAGGAACTTCCAGAAGCTGGAGGAGACAAGGACAGATCCTCCTCTTGGAGCATTCAGAAGTAGCATGGTCCTGCTGAACAGCTGGGCCTCAGGTTGTTTTGGAGAACCATGAAAGAACAAATTTTTATTGCTTAAGCCACACAGTTCATGGTACTTTGCTATGGTGGCCCTAACAAACTAACAGAGAAGGAGAGAGATCAATGCAAAAGCCTGGAGGCAGGAGAAGAAGCAACCCATAGCAATCAGCAACAGTTAAGGATGCTTGAGAACAAAGTGAAACACAGTTGTTCTGGAAGGCAAGTTTCTATGGGAAAAAGTACCTAGGCTATGTGAAATGGAAACTAAGTAAAGAAGACATGGTGGGTGTTAGTTTTTGCCTAAGAGAACCAAAGTACACAGAAAATCAGAGACACAATGTCCTGTCCTGAAGTCCCATTGCTGATACATCCCCTTGGCTTCTTACTCCATCTTTCTGATACACTTTTGATGATCCAGAAAAACGAGACCCTCCAAAGCATGATTTCCAAAGTTATCTATGCTCTTACAAACACTTGTGTCACATGAAGGTTCATGGTGTTATCTTTCTTTTTCTTTTCTTTTTTTTTCCTGAGCATAAAATGCAGCTAGGCACCAGTGGCACGTGTCTGTAATTGTAGCTACTCAAGAGGCTGAGATATGAGGACAGAAAGCCAGCCCAGGCAGGAAAGTCCATGAGACTCTCATATTCAATTAATCACACACACACACACACACACACACACACACAAATGAACAAACAAACAAAAAACAGTAGTGAAGCTGTGGATCAAGTTGCTGAGCAATAATAGTCTTGACCAAAAAAAGCTCAGGGACTGCACTTAAGCCCTGAGTTCAAGCCCCAGGAATGGCACAAAAAAAAGTAAAGTGGGGCAGGTGGAGGCTGGGAAGGGATGGAAAGGGGAAAAAAAAAAGTAAAATGCTAGAATTTTATAGTTTTATAAAGCTAACACATGAACAACCTCTGCTTTAAAGAAAGTAAAAAATGGGGCTGGGAATGTGGCTTAGTGGTAGAGTGCTCGCCTAGCATGCATGAAGCCCAGGGTTTAATTACTCCATACAATATAAACAAAAAAAGCTGGAAGTGACACTGTGGCTCAAGTGTTACAGCAAAAGAAGCTCAAGAACAGTGCCTGAGCCCTGAGTTCACCCCAGAACTGAAACAAAAAAGAAATAGAAAGTAAAAGAGCAAAAACATCTACCCACAAGCCTAACAAAAAGGTACTTCATTGTATGTTTGAGATAGGGGTTAAAAATATCTTCAAAATCAGCACCTACGTACAAATCAATTCAACACGTGATGGAGATACCTGCTTAACCATGGAGGAGACATGGTCCAACACATTTGGATTGTCCCTCTGCATAATATATTTTGTTTTTGTTTTTGTTTTCATTTATATACACACCCATATGAAAGATAAGACTTTCATCTTGTCACCTAAAAAATTGCTTCATGATTTCTTTTTGGCTTATACAAATAGTCAACATCACGACTTTTGTACTTTGGGGCTATCTTACATAAAGTAATGGTTCCTTGAACAAGCTTGCAGGAAAACAATAAAAATAACCACAAGGTAAAGAGACTCATACCTTCAAAACATAAAAACAAGCAACAGTTACACTAGAAAACATAAGCTTTATTAGTGACTACTCCATAGAAACAATGAAAATCAGAAGACGTTGAAAAGACATCTTTAAAGTATTGAAAGAAAATGAAAACTATCATTTAAAATGTGATGTCCAGAAAATATTTCCTTCAAGAAAGATTAAATTAGGTATTTTCACTCACAGAAAAACTTACAACATTTTCTATGCATAAGAGAGGCATGGAAATGCACACCTGTAATCCTCACATTTTAGAGGCAAAGACAGGAGAATTGTTGAGTTTGAGACAAGCTTGGGTTATATAGTGAGACAAGAAAGGAAAGAAAAGAGAAGGAAGGGAGGGAGGGAGGGAGACAGGAAGGGAGGGGAAAAAAACTAAGGAAGGCAGGCAGTATTCCAGGAACTGTACTAAAATAAGAGCTGTGGAGGACTGCAAGATGGGTGAGATGTGATCTCCACCCTCAGGGAACTAATAAGTTAGCTGGGGATATGAGACATA